ATTGTAAAATCGGTTGGTCAATTACTCAAAAACCCATAATTCCAATGTCTTTGTTTTTGTATTAAAAAGAGGGTTGACGTAATTATGTTATTTTAACACCAAAAATGACGGGACATCTTGATTTCAATTTGTTAAGTAAATACGGGGGATTATTTATGAATAAACGCAGAGTTGGTTTGCTTTACTTGAATTTGTATTTTCGTATTTGTCTTTCATCTGAGATGATATGGTCAAATCCCTAAATGCAAATGCTTACTGCATACGAATTTTAACCTTACCTTCAGGAGAATTTGTATGGGGAAAAGTTTTGCCCTAAAACATGTTTTGCAATTACCGTTTTCTGAGCAATGTTGCGGCCTAAAATTAACCATAGTGTATCTCTGATAGATGATTAGTAAGTGGTTAGGACCAAAATGAAGAAGCTTCTTATGTTCACTTATGAAAATTAGTTTGTTGAAATCCTTAGGAAGCAAGATAGGGTGTCGTCTTTCGAATGGGCAAAAATAATGTTCGAATCTAACACCAACGAGGCCTTTATCATTTAAAAAGGCGAAAGACAATTGATACTAACCTTTCTAGCTCGACTGGATTTATCCAAGAAACGGATTTCTGAGCTGAACTGCTCTGTTTGCACTATTTTTGCAAAATATTCTTCATTATCCAATGGTCCATGTAACTTATCATGTATAAAACGTAAGCAGAAGACCAAGGACGAAATAGAGCGTTGAAACCTTAAAGATATGAGAATAGTTCTATATATTGGACGAATTTTTGTTATTGCGGTTGATCCAAGACCAAAACCAACGATTTTTCAGTTACGGTTTGTTTTGCTTGGAAGAATTTACTGATACTAGTTTGTTTACATTTCTATTGAATAGAAATTTAGTTGTATGTACCTTTTAAACTATTTTTCTTAAAATTTAACGTCATTTTTATGCTTCCACATGCAGATGTAAGAACAATTAGTAGTCGAACCAAATTTTACTTTTGCTAGGTTAAAGTCATTCGAGTCATTTTAAGTATTAATTGCAGTTCTCAGTATACAATTAGCCTCAGTGTTACATTTCTATACGCGATATTTTGTGCAGCGCCATCATTGGCCATTGCCCTTCTTGTTTGTTGTGTTTTTGCAGTAAATCCCCAAGATACACGCCCTTCTTAAGCTCAAAAACAGATATAAGCACAAGCAACCAAGAGGAGGAGAAGGAGAAGAAAGCAGGAAACGAGATCAAAGTATTGAGGCATCGGAAACTAATTGAACACCGGGGCAATATCCTGGCTATCACCAAGAAATTTAGTTCCCTCTAATGCAGATATTTCAGTGGCGAAGTTGAGGGCGTACCCTTTCGGGTCGGACTACACCTAGATACCCCCCCCCCCACAACCCCTGTCAGTTCCTACCAGGGACACATCCCTATGACAGTTGACTAAATTCTGGCAGAGGCGGCTACGCCAGGCATATGCCATAGTATCAAGTGTCAAGTTATTTGTATGTGATTGGGAATTAGGTACATTTATCTATGTATGTTCGAAAATTAGTGAAATGAGCCTTTAAACTACCACGTTTAACACGAAGCTTTCGCAATTTCAATATCCCATTAAGGAAATCTTGTGTAATTACGGATTATTGAATAATAAATCCGGCTCGAAGGACCATATGTATAAGCTATATGCTTTGCTTTCTGTATTTACTGTTTCTTTTTAGACATGTTTTATATTACTTTTTTACATTGTCATTAAATGTTTATTCAAGTTTCCAATAGCGAAATAAAATTGTGAGTAGTTGTGCTTCACTTAACATATTACCTTAATCGTTGATCTTTTACACTTGGACTAATATGGTAATAGCGGAAATCTGCCAGCAATGAGGTGAGAAGGGTTTACTCGATGACCACAATGTATTATTCCATTAGAGATATCCAAAATGAAACCACTCAACATAAATGTACGTCCGTTTTCAATCAAATGCTTCGCCCTTTAAATCAACACTGACTTAAAAGTTAAAAGGAAGAGAATTCTAGTGGGACAGTACTTTGCCAGTGGAACATCAAGTACGGTGTGCACATTTACTAACGACGTTTTTCCGGAGGCACTTGTCAAGTTGTTCGAACCGTATTTCTCTTCTAATTAGCTTAGAAGTTTTAATTTTGTTTTAAACGAGCTGTATGAAAAGCAACAAATCAATAGCTGAGCTTCGTTTACGAATCGCAAATTTTCGGTAACTGTCAAAACATTATTATTTGGATTTGTTCCCTTTTGAGAAAGAGTTGCTAATTCAGAATTACCAAGCGGAAAGCCTTTTTTTTAACATGAATCGAATTTGAAACCCGTGCTCGATTAAAGATTATTACCTCGAGCCTTTCAACTATAACGGTTGACACAATATACGTTATGGTCTTGTCTCGAAATTTAGTAAGGCAATATCCTTTAACGTTTCAATTTCTGCTAAAATCGCAATTTCAAAGCTTTTCGTAAAGTTATATATATATCTCGCGCTTTTCCATTAAAAGAAAATCACCTACTTTTCCTTTCAACTACACTAAGTAAAAAGATTTTCTCGAAATTTCCTTTTAGGGATTACCATAATCATTTCCTTTTAGTTGGAGATCGCGTTCGCATTTGACAAATTTATGCCATTTAAACCGTCGTAATTTTGCTAATACCGGTAACATCGACAGCCGTAACTTAATTGAACGGAATTATTTCGCGTCGAAAAAAGTTGGTCTCGAAAACTTGTTTCGAGTGTTCTTAAAGAAGATTAAACAACGGGGAAAGCTAGATTAGGGTTGCAAAAGTCAAATTGAACTGTAACGGAATCCTTTTAAGCCAAAAAATCCTTTGTTCCGCGACGTACTTGAATGATTATACTTAATTCAGGAAGGCTGCAAGGAAATTTATTGTGTATAATATGACATTTATGTAGGTTAAACAAATAAGTTTTATTCTGTTGTGGCAAAGTTTCGGTGATATACTGGCCACGATCACGCATTGAGTCGGTTAATTATTGAGAAATTGTTTACTCGCCCGCTCACCTTTGCCGTCTCGAGCCAAAACCCACAGCTATTTTATGTTGACAACTCTGTTGTTAGAGCAGATCCATTGAATTCCAACGCGAGATTTACGAGAGGCTGATTGTATCAGTGGAAAGTATGAATCTGATTCGCTTTTCTAGGACAAATGAGATGGGAGTTTTTACGAGGAAACCTAATGGTCGCAATCAAACGCGTTTTGCTCACTACTCGACAAGTGCAATAATAACAAATTTCTAGAGAGAGGTTAAGATAAGAATGTTGTTGTTAGACATAAAAATTCCTCTTCGTTAACAGCTTCTTTTAAGAGATATAAACTTTTTCCATTTAGGCCAACATTAGTAATATTTATGTAGTGACTTTCCCAAAAATTTTTATGTGGATGTAATAAATAAAAGCAGTTGTTTCTTGAAGGGTTGGGGTGTGTAGCGTTAAGACAAATAACATTTTATTTTCGGCGAAATTATACCTACGGGGAAGAAATATCGAATCCCTTACTTTGATAAATTGCCACCCGTTGGCCTTCATCTTCGCGTAGGGTAAGGTACTTATCGCGCCCCAATCAAGGCTATATACTAATTAAACTTTTCGCTTGCCGAAGTTGGCGATTTTTTTACCAAATTTGCGTCGATTGTGGTGACGTGCACTGAACAAACTTTCCAAAGAAGTGGAGCAGATGTAAAATATTGGCCTGATCGTACAAGTGCCTGTGTCATTAGCAGAGTGTCGTCAAGATGCTTTGCTACAATTTATGTGTCCTTACAATGGCCGCTCAGTAGCGGATACATAGTGGCAGTTCTTATGTCCCCTTTGCTACTTCAAGTCGAAGGTAAATTTAATGGGGGGTGAAATTTCCGGCTTGACTTCCGGTTTAACAGGAATTGGAGACAACACTTGATTTTCAATCTTTTTTAATCTTTGAAAAAAGTAGCTTTGCTGAAAAGTCAATGCTTCTAAGTTACTCATGACAAAAGGTGCCTATTTTTAATCGAAAAAAATGAGAATGATAAGGTAACATGTAAGATGGTGTGATTGTTAGTTTTTTCATCAATTCAATATTCAATATTTATTTATTATCTCTGACAATGTGAGCCATTGCATGAGATACGTCAAATGTACACAGTATAAACATATAACTCCACAATTTAAAATACTAGAACACGTTAAAATAATTACAAAAAAACTAGTTTCGAAAACAAAAGTTAAAAAACTCATCCACAGTATATGGTGCTTGAACTAAAAGAATTGCTTTTATAGCTGCCCTAAAACTCTTTAACGTTTTCTGACCTGTTACACTTTTGGGGAGGACATCGAATGCAAACATCGAAAGATTCGAGGGTAAACAACAAGATAACGGTTAAGTTTCTTCAGAAAAACTGATAGAATCTTTTTTAAAAATCCTTGCTTAAAAATTTAGGGGCTCGTTTAAAATCCTTAGTTTAAAATCAAAAAAGCGTTTTCGGATTTTCTAAAAAAATTGATTTGTTTTAAAATAAGTATAAAGCCAATAAGGTTCGTTCTCACTTGCACTGCACTCAGCTCGGCGTCGCGACGCGTTAAAAAAGATTAAATCACAGATTCATTTATAAGTATATATTTATAATAGTATATTATATTATGAGGAGCTAAAGTGTTACTTTTTATGGCGAGTCAGTGTTTGATGGCCGAGCGAAGCGAGGCCAGCAAAATACTGACGAGCCATAAGAAGTTACTTGAGCTCCGCATAATATATGCTATTTTTTCTTCAAACGTGAGAACAACGCCCAAATAATGATTTTCAAATCGGAAGAAATATTAACACGATCGTTATAGGTAGCCATGAGCGCGTCGGCCGTGGTGGCTATAACAATTGCAATAGTTAGCCATTATTAGTTTTGACGTTTTAATTGTGGACGAGTTTTTTTGTGGGTAAGTATCTTCAATTTTTAGAAAATTACGACCTTAGTAATTTCTGTAATTCCTTTAGAGATTATGGATTCATATTGCACGCCACCTGACGTGGAGGAAGTTGCTTTAGCGGCGGTCGAAAATTTACTTCCGACAAAGTCAAAGGACATCTACGATAAAGCTTGTAGGAAATTTATTGATTGGTGTAAGCAAAAAAACGCAAAAACCTACTCGGAACATGTGCTTCTGGCTTATTTCTCGGAACTGAAATCGAAAGAAAACAAGAAGTGCTCCACCCTATGGTCTACTTATTCGATGATTAAGAGTATACTCAATGTCAAACATGGGGTGGATATTAGCAAGTATTTAAAACTAAGAGCTTTCCTAAAGAGGCAAAATGAAGGACACATACCAAAAAAGTCAAAAGTTTTTACCAAAAATGAGTTCGATGCTTTTATTAACAATGCTCCCGATAACGACTACTTAGGAATGAAGGTGTGCAATGTGTTATAAGTTATGAATAATAGATGTTAATTTCGCTACATATTTTACAGATTGCATTGATAATAGGCATTGCTGGCGCGTGTAGGTGCGATGAAATAGTAAAAATGAAGACTGAAGACATCGAAGATTTGGGATCTCTTCTTCATATACAAATTCCGGATAGTAAAACTAACAAAACCCGGTCCTTTACAGTGATAGGAGCACACTATATCGGCATTTATAGAAAATATGTCAACGTTCGGCCAGCAAACATGAATAACTCGAGATTTTTTTTGAAATTTGCAAAGGGAAAATGTCATCGAGCTGTGAGGGGAATTCACTTTATTGGAGAAATATGCAGAAAAGTGGCGTCGTACTTGAATTTGAAAAACCCCAAAGAATACACTGGGCATTGTATGAGAAGGACTTCAGCTACACTGCTGGTCGACGCAGGAGCCGATATTACTTGTTTAAAGAGACACGGTGGCTGGAAGTCTAATTGTGTAGCTGAAGGTTACATAGAAGACTCGATTTCAAATAAAAATGAAATTGCACAAAAAATACTTTCGACAACTTTAGAAAATCCAGGTTTATCAGATGAAATGACTTCAACTACTCCTCCATTTGAAGTGGAGACCAATCCAGTTCTTGAAAATACTTGTAGTTCATTGGAAATAAGACGAGCTAAACAAAACTTGACTCTTCAAAACTTGGATGCTGCAGGAACGAGCTCAGGGTTTAATTTCAATAATGGTAATATGACTAACTGCACTTTCAACATTAACTATTATTTAAATAAATAAATAGTTTCTTTGATTGACTATATTTTTATTTCTGTTAAAATCAGAAGGAAAGATCAACGCACTTGCTAGGTGAACGAAGAACCTAATGTAAATAACACCAAATTGTCAAAGCAAAACGATGTGACACTGGCACTGAAGCGTTTTAATGCCTAGGCACTAAAATACTTCACTGCCGCTTGTTCGATTGTTCTAAAAAGTCAAACTTTAACTCAGAGTGCTGAGCTACGTAATGTCAATATTATATGACGTTTGAAGAAAAATTTATTTATAAATCTGTGATTAAATTAATGTTTTTAAATGAATGCGGCTACAGTACAGATTATGACATGAAATCTGTTTTTGGCGACGCTTTGCACCACGACATTGCGTCGCGACGCCGAGCTGAATGCGAGGCAAGTGAGAATCGACCTATACACTGATAAAGTGCAAGTTCAAAAAGTAATCGTAAACGATTTACAAAAAGCGTATTTCCACATGCATTCATTTCCCATTTGTAAGATGCAACTTTTGTTAAAATTTCGTAAAAATCAGGGTACAAATAAGAAAGTTAGCGTTACACATGTGCAATCTATTTTTGACATGCTACTTCAATTTCAGTTTATAAGATGAATCCTAACCTAAAAGATTGGTTCACAAATAACGAATTAGTCCAGGCTAAATAGCTCTAAAATAATTTAATAAAAAAAAATTTAATAATAAATAATAATAATAAATTAGTTACCGGGCGAAACCGGGTTTTTCAGGCAGGTGAAATGAATAGAAATTGGGAAAAAATAATTAAAACAGCTGAATTTTTCCACGGGTGAAATCCCGGGGGTTGAAAGGAGTGGAAAGTGGTGTTTTGCAAATTGTGGCAAAACTCTTAATTTTAGACGAAAATGTTCAATGTAAAAGTATAGAAAAATGAGCAACTTTTGTTAAAGATTTGGGTACGGACTCCTTAAAAACAAGTAAATATATATCAAAAAAGTTCCCACCTCTCAGGAGGGTGCTTCGTCCCCTTTTGGTCCAAAAACCACCCCCTCAGGTGACCTCGCACTGGTGTTTTCCATTTTTCTCGAAAACTGTTACCCTGGCGAGGAAAATGGACAGTACCCAAAATTATTCCTAAATTCTGCGTCATTTATAACCTATATGTTTTTTTCTCTATATCGTACCCCAATCTCACAAATATGTATAAATGCAAAAAATTCTGTTTTGTCTTTTGCCCATTTGCTACACCGAAATCCTAAATCATAAAAATCCTAAAAAATGTCCGATGAAGAACACCATCAAAACGGCTTTTAGGGCTATATTTAAACGAATTTCCCTGGGAATTTCAAGGATTTCAAGATAATCGACGGTAAGGTTTTGCCAGGGGGTAAACACCTGGGGAAGTAATTGTACAGAATGGAGGAAGTTATGAGGAAGTACGGGGAAGTCTGGGGAAGTTCGGGGAAGTACTGGAAGTCCGGGGAAGTTCGAGGAAGTACGGGGAAGTATATGGGAAGTACAGAGGAAGTACTCATTTCTTCATAAGATGCGAAATGTGACAGAAGGTGACCGGAGAGGTAAAATCTGGTAAACACTTGAAAAGTAATCCGGCAGTTATTTCTGAGTGCATAAATCCCGCCTTGTTCCAAAAAAATCAACACCTATGATTGTGATTATGTATATAGATACCTAAAATAAAAACCTATTTTTTCACTACTACTTATTAACCTTTTTTCCATTTGTAAAGTAGGCTTTCTCGTTAGTTGTTCAAAGTAGTTAATAATGTGGTTATTATTAACTAGTAGTCAATAATGAGAACTTTCACGCTGTCACTTTTAGAAATCACAACCTGAAATTTCGCTCAATAAACGTTCAGATAAGTTCTCTAAAATGAATAATTGCCACTATCCGTCATTTTCAGAGAAATTACATACTTAAAATTATCACACTTTGAAAAAATCCGAACGAAATTACTTTTTGAAAATATCTCAATGACAGAACAAAATACGACCTTCTTGACTGTTACTTCCACGCACTTTATTGACATGTTAAATTAATAAACAAAAAATTCTGTCCAATCGTTCACTTTTTTAATAATATAGATCTGAAAGGAAAATGAAAAATCGCCATTTTAAAAAAAATTCAAATATTTTAGTAACAAATAGAGCTATCGAAAAAAGTTTCAAATAAAAGTTGCAAGAATCGATGGGATAAATTCAATGCGTGTAGAAAAAGAATTTTTAAAATGGCGGATTTCCAGATATTGACATCAACTTCCTTATTTTAAATGGACGTCATATTTCATTTTACGTCACTCGATAGAGACAAAAATACAAAACCAGTGAGCTAGACAATAAACGACCGAATTTGGTTTCAATCATAATCGGCCATAGAATTATTGCCATAACAAATACAATGTAAACTTCGAGGCAAAAATGCAAGGTTGATTCCCTCATGAAATACTAAGGGCAACTGGGGTTGAGTGTTTAGTATCACTGGTTTTGTAATTTTTTCTATATCGAGTGACGTAAGAATCCTATATGGCGTCCATTCAAAACAAGGAAGTTGATGTCAATATCTCGAAAACCGCCATTTTGAAAAAAAATTTCTACGTCCATTGAATTTATCCGATCGAATCTTTCAACTTTTATTTGAAACTTTTTTCGATAGGTAGATACACCTCTTTTTGTTACTAAAATATCTGAACTTATTTAAAATGCCGATTTTCACATTTTTCAAATTATCTACGAAACGTTATTTTTTTTCAAAATCTCGCATTGGAATATTCATCAACATCAAAAGACTTTAAACTTTACCAATTTAACCGAATCTGTAAGTATAATAATAACAAAGATAGCAGGCAATAATACTAGACTCCTCTACCTTGGTATATAATGTACTATTATACATAGAATCACAAAATATCAATATCAACCCCTAACCTTATAATGAGAAATTTTGAAAAATCTTGAATAGCTTGAAAACATTTGATGCTGGGTATAGGGAAATGTGGCATCAAACGACGTAGATTTTCATGTAGATGCCGGAAATACAATATAGGGTGTATTTGCTTTCGATAGATCATGGAAAACTATGTTAGTATGCACATTTTCAGATTTCAATTATTAATGGGAGTCTGAATACTTTTAGGTAACGGTTTACGTGATTACCGATAAATTAGTATTGTTATGTATCCATCTATGAATAATTATTATTGTTCCGTACATATGTTATTATAAAATTTAGTAAAAAATGCTGACATGACAATAATTTATGTCTTAATTTCTTTCATATTAAAAATTTCTTCAAACCTCATGTAAATACAAAGGTAATTATTAAATAGGTAAGTGTGAAAATAAATAATGATTAACACTACTTATCTAATTTTTCATCTCATCTCATGTAGGTATAGTATAGTATTCATTGCACATGACATTCGCATTTCGCATACAATGCATTTTCGTGGACTCGTTATAACCGTCACTATGTGTAATATTGAAAAAGCAAATCTAAAGTCTATATCAATGTCTACTTAACAGTGGAATTTTGGGAAAGTACAGGGGAAGTTTGGGGGAAGTACAAGGAAGTACTGGGAAGTAAGGGGAAGTACTGGGAAGTATTAAGAAGTAAAGGGAAGTACAGGGAAGTATAGGGAAGTTAAGAGGAAGTACTGAAGGACTTCCCCCAAAGGGGAAGTATTGTACAAATTTGAGGTCTAGTGATTACCCCCTGGGTTTTGCAAAGACCCCTAATTAAATTTGCAGAAGTCTTTAAATCTCAGAGAATGTTCGGAGTAAATTTTTAAGAGGTTTTTCAATTGTTTTGAAAATTTCTACCAAGATATTTAAGATTTCTACAAAAATGATAAGCAAAAAGGTTCCTAGCAACTGACTTCCGGAGAACCGATTTCAAAACGGTTCCAAAAAAATGAACCCGGAAATACTAAGATCCTAAGTTTGTCAAAACACAAGCGAGGTTTATGAATACCGAAGAGCATTTGTATGGCGACTCTTATTCAGGACGGTTGGTTTCCACGAGGACTGCTAATATCGAGACCCTTTTTAAAAAGATCTCTAGGGCATTTATCAATCTTAAGATGCATCAAAAAAAGAGTGCTCTAAGGATAGAGAAGGTTTTTAAAAATATTCTTATGTTGACCTTATCCATCTAGAAATTCCTAGACATAGCACGAAGTTAATTCTTAAAATTGATGGGGGTTAAGAAAGGATACAAGAAAAAGTTACCAAGAAAGAAGGTTTCTAGAGAGTTTCGTAGTAAGATCAGATTTCCATCGAATGTTTTCCAAGGAGATTTCTACAAAGACCTCTAGCGTAATTGTATAACCTCTAGGGCGGCCTGTAACGAGGAAATTTCTACTATTTCAAAGAACTTTTTTTCCTAGGTTCCCCGTGTGATTTCGAAGGTGTCCAACAGGATACTTACAGTAAGGTTTAGGTGAAAGGGCAGCATTGGTGAACCGTGCGTGCCGTTATTATTTCCTAGAATGACCTTTAAAATGGTTTCCAGCAGAAAATCTTGCATATTAGACGATTTATGATTACACGAAACAAATAAACCAAAGTAACACTTAAAGCGCAAAAGAAGTTTTGCCGCAAGGGACACGAGAATCTTTTCTTATTCGACGCGCGACGAACATTTCACTCGCATTTTAAAATATCTCAAGCATGTTCTGGTAACGTGAATTATACTGCAAGTACCTCAGAAGCGAAGCGACTCGCGGCAATAATCGTTATACATGGCGCAACCGTCAGATTTAATACACTTAGACTTGCATATTTTTATTTGAAAAAGCCATACAGTCGCAACATCATTAACATAACGTATTCTGTTGTGCAGCAAATGGAAGTCGCTGGTTCCATTTAATGTGTATTACCCTCCGGGCTGCCTTTTCCGCTGTGGATATTTGGAAGCGGTTCCGCGGGGAATAATTTGTAAGGAATTAGAGACGATACTCACTGATTGGATGTGATTTGCACTTTTCGCAATTGCAGAAGTCGATTAGTGTATTGTGGGCGAATCGGCTGTCAATCCACCATGGTTGAGAAAATGAGTGTTTTTCAATTTAGGATTACCGCTCAGCCAAAATTGCAGTATGGGTATTTTGATTATAATACCAAAACCGTATGCCTTCAAAGCTCTTTATGGAAATTTAGTAAACCAATAAGAATTATGTATTCGAAACCAATCAGAGAGCGGAAAATCATAATTTCGACGGAAATTATAAATTTCGACGGAAATTAAAACGGATCCCCGAAACAAATTTTAGTAATACATGCAGTCATTGTCGGATTGCTGTGGTAGTGTAATAGATCATGTTTCAACACCTTTGCAGGTTGCGCAGGGGCGCTAATTGTCTGAAAGGAACTTCCCATGTTGAGGGTATGTTCTTTCATTTAATTTTGAGAGTCCACATCATTTAAATCAATCGAAAAACCTTAACGTTAACATGCGTTCATATTTTTAAATTGTTTTTTAATTACCTTATGCTAATTCCTGCTGCCTTGCTGCCTACGTAATCAATTTAGCAGGAGCTGCTCGCGTTTCGTGACGGTCTGGCATTAGTCGCCATCGCAAACATTTGACTACTAAGGCGCATTTAAAGTGGAAAAAAATAAGAAATGCAAATAGGGTAGTTTTGATTCATTTAATCAGATTTTTTTCTTGAAGCGGAAGTAATTTACACATAATGATTCCCATAACAACGGAACGTCAATTTATTGCGTGTTAGAGAGGTGACCTAAATGTTTAATAAAACACTTTTACGAGAAACACGATAAGAATTTCTATGTTCTTAATCAAACCTTTGTGCGGGGAAAGTGAAGAGTGCTGTTCTTTTCGGGGAGAATTGTTCTCAATTCTCTCGTGAGGTGTGTGAAGGTTTCGTTTCACCATTTCGCACCTCTAAGCGGCTTAATATCTAAGTTGACATGCACATTCGAACTCGACTAAATTCGGTACAATCGTGTGGTTTTAATTTCTCTTCGATATGACAAATTCATACGGCATAGTTATGCGCTTTACGTGGTTGTATATGGATTAGTATTATTACTACATGCAATTTGACTGTTTTTCAAATCGATTACTTGAATTGTAACATTCGGAGAAAGTGTGACTGAAAATGACGTACAATTCTCAATACTAAATCGTCGTATAGAGTGGTGATGGGGTCATTTGTAACACTCTCCAGAGTCCTAACGTACGACCCCCCTTTCAATTCGCATCCGACGATAAAAATCGCACGATACAATTTCGGATTACTGCCTTTTTTTAGCAACAAGCGGGCAATTTACTTTCTCCTAGCAGTGCGAACGCCATCGGTCTTTCCATAAACAAATGATCTGATACCGACAGGATACATGACGTGCGGTCATCGAAAATTGTGACACTAATCAACACTACTTGCGATACGTGACAAAGCCCCATTGACCTCGAAATTGACAGAACCATTTGAAACAGTATCGATTTGTATTATGTGAAATAACTGAATGTAATCTGAGAACCTTTTTATAACGCCTCTAACAAAA